TGGTCTGAGGGGCAGTGACCGGGCCGGGGGTGGGGGGCGGGGAGTTCTGACTGGGGGAGTCTGCCCACCCTCTCTCTGCACCCACTGGGGGCTCAGGCTGGGGGCTCATGGTGGAGGCAGGGTGTGAGGTGGGGTCCTTGTGTCTCTGCCCCCGCTTGTCATCTGTCTCTGTGACGTGGCCTATGGCCTGGGTGCTGGTCCCATTTTGGCCTGGCCTGACTAAGGCTCGAGCGGGTCCCTGTCTTCTCTCTGTAAAATGGGACCAGAGCCACACAGCCCATCCCACTGCCCATGTGGCCGCGTGCCCAGGGCGAGGCACACGGTCGACATTCGTGTTCTCGCGGGGATACATGATACGCACATCATCGCGTGAATCTCAAAGCGCTGCCGGCTCAGAGGGCCGTGTACTTTGGGCAATGGTGCCAGCTGGCCCGAGGCTCCTGGTGACCCTGTGTGCACGGCCAGCTCGGGCCCTGGGCAAACTGCATTCCTGGGTCAGCCGCGGCCAGCTTCCCAGGGGGCCGCCTGGAGAGTTTCCCCCCCAGGTTAGAGGCTGGGTTTTCGGGTAGAAACCCGATGCCCTCGCGAGAACTCCCGGCCTTCAGGTCCTCTCGTTGAGATGTGGTTCCCGGGGCCCCAGTGACCTTTCGCGGGGTCACAGGTGGGGGCCACTGGCAACGGGTGGACATCCAGGCAGTCCCCTGTGCCCGCCAGGTCCCCACCCGCCCTCAGGGCACCCAGAGAGAAAATCCCGCCGGGGACTCGGGGAGGGGTGCGGGGGTAGCAGGGGCCTCGGGAGGGTGAGTAGTGGGCAACGGCTCTGCTTGTCTCTGATGTGGTCTCACAAAGCGGTGCTCCTGGGCCCGGCAGTGCCTTGCGTCCCAGGCTAGCCTGGTGACCAGACTCACCTGCTGGTGCCTGGCGCCCACAGGCCCCTCTGATGCCCGTGGCTCCCTGGGCTCCTGAGGCGTGGCTGTGGCCCTGCCTGTTGACTCGGCCAAGGCGGGCCCCGGGGAGGACGGGGTGGTGAGTCTGCCCTCTGCCCGCCGCTGCCGGCCCCCTGCAGGTCCAGCCCTGCCCCCACCATGAGGCTGATCTGGAAGGAGCGGGTCCTCACAGCCCTGCTGTGGGCTGCAGTGGCCTTGGGCGTCACCACGCTCATTCTCATCCTGGTGGAGGCCACCAACGTCCTCCTGCCCACAGACACCAAGGTGTGACCCCGGGCCCTGAGCGGAGGCGGCCGGGCCAGGCTGAGCCGTGCGCTGGTCCCCACGCCCTCCTGACCCTGGTGTCGCTCCAGTTTGGGATCGTGTTTGACGCCGGGTCCTCCCACACGTCTCTCTTTGTGTACCGGTGGCCTGCAGACAAGGAGAATGACACAGGCGTGGTCAGCCAGGCCCTGGACTGCCAGGTGAAAGGTCAGTGGGCAGTTTTGTTCATGGTGGTTGGGTGTTGGGAGCGGCCCACTACCTGGCTGGGTTCGCAGCTGGGTGGAAGGTTGGGAGGTGGCGCAGGCAGAGCCAGGCAGGAACCATGTCTGGCTCCTGTGGCAAATCAGCCCAAAGGAAAGGGGGCTCAGAGCGGCTGAGCGACAAGTCCCCACCTGAGGCTACAGAGATCGCGGCCGGCCTCTCCTGCCTCCTCCCGCTTCTGGGGACTCCAGAGGCTCCTGGCTGTGGCCGTGTCCCCCCATCTCTGCCTCTGACTCCACGCAGCTCCTCCCCGCCTCCCAAACCCCTATCTCCTTTGTCTCACAAGGACCCCGTCATGGATGTAGGGCCCGTCCGGGGAACCTGGGACGGTCTCACCTTGAGATCTGTAACTCAGTTACATCTGCCAAGACCCTTTGTCCAAATAAGGCCACACTCGCAGGTTCCAGGTGGGGGCGAGGATGCGAACACACCATTTGGGGTCCACTACCTCCCCCACACAGGCCCATTCGGCCCAGCCGGCCTTGGGGCCAGAGCCTCGTGCTGAGTGCTGTCTTTCAGGGCCCGGAATCTCTTCCTACGCCTCCAACCCCGAACAGGCCGGGGAGAGCCTGCGGGGCTGTCTGGAGGAGGCGCTGGCTCTGGTCCCAGAGGATCAGCACCAGGAAACGCCCATGTTCCTGGGGGCCACGGCCGGCATGCGGCTGCTCAGGTGAAGTGGGCGGTGCTCTCGGCACCTGGCAAGGGGTGGGGGCACCGGCCAGCTGGGCCCCTGGTCCTCCCTGCCCAGCAGGGTGGGTGGCAGGGCGCTGGCCAGCTGGGCCCCTGGTCTTCCCCACCCAGCCAGAAGAACAGCTCTCAGGCAGAAGACATCTTTGCCGCAGTCACTCGGGTCCTGGGCCAGGCTCCCGTGGACTTTCGGGGTGCTGAGCTCCTGGCCGGAAAGGACGAAGGTGCCTTAGGCTGGATCACTGTCAACTACGTCCTGGGCTCGCTGGTCAAGGTGCCACGGGCGGCCCAGGCGGGGACCGGGTGAGCGGAGCGGGGTCCGCCCGGTGGCCCCGAGCCTGAATCCCGTCTCTGGCCAGTACTCCTTCTCTGGAGAGTGGATCCAGCCTCCAGAGGGGACGCTGGTGGGTGCCCTGGACATGGGTGGGGCTTCCACCCAGATCACCTTCGTGCCCGGAGGCCCCATCCTGGACGAGAGCACCCAGGCCACCCTCCACCTCTACGGCTTCGAGCACAGCGTCTACACCCACAGCTACCTCTGCTTTGGGCGCGACCAGATGCTAAACAGGCTCCTGGCTGCGCTGGTGCAGGTCGGCTTGCGGGGAGGAGGGGCTGAGGGGTGCCTGTCCGCAACACCCCAGGCAGGTGCTCAAGGACCCCCTCCCCACAGAGCAGCCGGGCCCTCCGTGTCCGCCACCCATGCTACCACAGCGGCTACCAGGACACCCTGCCCTTGGCCACCCTGTTTGAGTCACCCTGTGTCCACAGCACTGCGCCCCCAGACCTCACACAGAACCTCACTGTGGAAGGGACGGGGAACCCCGGGGCCTGCACCCTGGCCATCAGGGACCTCTTCAACTTCTCCAGCTGCACGGGCCGGCGGGACTGTGCCTTTGACGGGGTCTACCAGCCCCCTGTGCAGGGGCAGTTCTACGTGAGCACCCCGCTCTGGCTCCCGGCCCCCTGGGGCTGCGCCCTGGGCCGGCGGGACAGGCGGGCCCAGTCCAGGGGGTTCCTGGGGACTGCGACCCGTGGGGCGGGCGCGGGGCCGCTTCCCGACTGGGCACCACCTCAGCGCAGCGCGCGCTTCGCCCCCAGGCTTTCTCCAACTTCTACCACACCCTGCACTTCCTGAACCTCACCTCCGGGCAGCCGCTGGCCACTGCCAACGCCACCATCTGGGAATTCTGCCAGCGGCCCTGGAAGCTGGTGGGTGGGCCCCAGCACCCCCCACCCCGCCGGCTCCCTGGGCTGCAGCTTCACTGAGCAGGGACTGGAGGGTCCCCCGCCCTGGGCACTATGAACGGCGGGGTTCAGGGGAGCCATCCTGCTCCAGGCGGCCTGGAAGGTCAGCCTCAGCTGGCTCCTCCCTCCCGGGCCCAGGTGGAGGCGGCCTGGCCTGGGCAGCAGCGCTGGGTGCGTGACCACTGCGCCTCCGGCCTGTACATCCTCACTCTCCTGCTCCACGGCTACGGCTTCAGCGAGGACACCTGGCCCAGCCTGGAGTTCCGGAAGCAGGTGCAGCCCCCCAGGCCCAGGAAGGATGGGGGGTGGGCTCTGGGGCAGCCGGCTGCAGCCCTGACCGCTGTGTACCCGCAGGCCGGTGGCGCCGACATCGGCTGGACACTGGGCTACATGCTGAACCTGACCAGCATGATCCCGGCCCAGGCGCCTGCCCAGTGGCGGGCCCAGAGCCGCAGCATGTGGGCGGCCAGTGTGGTCTTCGCGGTGCTGACCCTCATGGCTGTGCTCGCGGCTGCTGTGGCCCAGCTCCTCTGGTGCCAGGAGAGGCATGGCTCCCACAGCACTGGCCACCCGCAGCCCTGAGCCCTGTGCGGCCACCGGGAGCCTGTCCTGTGGGCTGTGCCCTCCCTGGGGCCTCCCATCCAGGCACCTTGGGCCACTGTGCACTGTGCTTCCTGCACGAACACCAGGCCACTGGACCCCTGCAACACTCCAGGGCTGTGTGACTGTGGTGGCAGAGGGACAGGGGCCTGGTCATGGGGATGGTGGCCGGAGCAAGAAGGGGCCCGGGTCCTGGGGGGAGGGGCGGCCAGCTTGGCCCCTTGGGAACAGCACCCCCACCCTCAAGACGCAAGCAGGCGCTCAAGAGGCTGAGCCCAGACATGGCCACACCTTGTGGGGGCGGCTGTCTTTATTAAATGCTCCTGCCAAGGGCCTCTCAGGGCTGACCTCGCTGGGTCCGGGGGCAGGCGGGGACCACGAAGCACTTGGGGAAGATGCCGAAGCAGCCGTCACAGTGGCCCTCCAGCCACGCCTGGTCCACTGCGGGGGCGGGGGGCGGGGCGGTGTTAGGGCGTTAAGCAATGTCTGCCCTGAAGCCCATGTGCCCCGGGGGGCCCCAGCAGGCGATGGGAGGGGCAGCCCGCTGCCCAACCTTCACACAGGACGTCCACAATGTCCCCCGGCTGCAAGTCCAGGTCCTCAGGCCCCTGGGCAGGGTAGCCGTGCTGGGCCACCACCTGGTAGAGGATGGGCCGGCCACCCGCACCCTGCGGGCAGAGGGGACGCTGCAGGGCCGGCTGGGCACCAGCTGGGTCCTGGGGCCTTGCGCACAGCCAGCCCCCCCTGACCGATGCCCGCGCCGTCCAAGGCTCACCCGGCACTGCAGCCGCAGCCCTGCTGGGCCAGACGCCGACTCCCACCAGGCCGTCGGCAGCGCCCCCTCCTCGGGGAGGGGGACCCAGAGCCCAGAACCGGGGTCTCGGTAACTGCAAAGAGAGTCATCAGAGGGGCCACAGCAGCTGCAGGGCCTGAGCCGACCTCGAACGCCAGGCGCCCCAGTGCACCCAGCCCCTTCCAGCCGCTGCCCTGGGCCAGCTAAGCCCCCACCCCACCCCCCGCCGGCTTCCAACCCACCTGAGCTGCCCACGCTGGGCCTGGAGAGGGAGGGCCTGGCTCAGCAGAGCCCGCAGGGTGGGCGGGGCCGCTCCTCTTGGGGCCCTCAGGGCCAGGGTGAAGGCGCACTGCACCATGATGGTCACCAGGGGCTCGGAGCCCCCTGGGGCCACTCCCTAGGGCCAGACAGAAAGGTGCTGGGGGTTCTGTGTGCCCAGGCTGGCCGGGGCAGGGCCTGAGGATTGCAGCTAAGGGGCTGCAAGGCTTCGTCGGCCGGGGTTCCTGGGCCATTCAGAGGAGCAGGGCCTGGCTGTGGGGCCCCAGGATCCCAGGGAGAAGGTGGCCTCTTACCCCACCGGGGCAGTCCTCAGAGGGTTCCGGGTCTGGGCCCCCAGCAGCTGGCAGCTCTGTGGGGGGATGCAGCAGGGCCTGAGTGACCAGGGAGGAGCTGCCAGCGTCACCCACCTCTGCTTCCTCCTAGGGGGTCAAAGAGGCTGCTCCTGGCCCCCCAGATGCCTGCTCCCTCCACAGAGGGCCCCTTACCTCTCAGGACACCCCTACCTGGAGGAACCTGATCATCAGCTTGCTCTGTGCGGGACCCCTGCAAGGGAAGCCACAGGCTCTGGAGTGGGGGCAGCTTCCCCGGGCCTGTGGCTCATTGGGCAGTGCCCGGTGCTGGACACCGACTCAGGAGCCAGCGGTGAGGGGTGTGGCCTGTGAGCTGGCCTGGCCAGGCAGGAAGCCACGAACGCAATCATGTTGGGGATGATTTCAGGGTGGGAACCACGTCCTACAGGCCTGGAGACTCCAGACTGGCCGCCTTGCCCATGGGGACCATCGGTCGGCTCCCCTCACCTCAGCGTGAGGCAGCAGGGGCCGAGGACCAAGGCCAGGGGCCAGCTGGACTGCACACTTAAGTAGTGGGTGTGCTGGACGGGCAGGGGTACACCCCAGGAGAGCCCACTGTCCCCCAAGAGGGCCTACAGGAGGGCCTACGGTCCCAGCCACACCGGCTCACCGAGGTCCCATCCCAAGCAGGGGATCTGCAGCTCTAAGTTTGTGCACAGAGTTTAGACTCCATCAGGTTCACCCGTCAGAGCAATCGGGAGGCCGCGTCCTGCTGCGCCACGAGGGTCGAGTGCCTCAAACGCACTGGCGACCTCCGCAAGCACAGCCTGACCAGCGCGGGGCTTCGTCACGTGTTCGGCCCCAGCACCTTTGTACTAAGCGTGTTTGTACTAAGCGTGTTTGTACGTGGACGAGCTGCTTTTAGGGCCTGACCTATTCAACCAACTTAATTGAACACAGGCAAATGGTGAAGGTGAGCGTCGATATTTTGATTGTGCCCTTCGATAGAAAAACTGTCAAATTCAACCACCATCTCAGTGCACAGCAGGCCCCCAGGTCCTGGTGCTGGCTGAGGGCAGTGGGCAGCCCGGGGCCCTCCTCCTCAGCCTCACCCCATCACTTCCACATCCGGGAGGGGAGGCGGGGTGACGGGCCCTGCCTGAGGGTGGAGGGTCCGCTGCGGGGACCAGCAGGCCCGGCCGTGCACTGGCGAGCAGCGGCCCCCACCCCTGGGATCTGATCTCCGTGGCTGGTCTGGCCACGTCCCTGGCCCAGCTAAGCAAGCCAAAGCTCTGCCCGGCAGGCAAGGCTGCCGGCCCTACCCTGTGTCCCTGGTGGTGCCCAGCCCTGGCCCCTGGTCCCCATGCCCCGCCCTTGGTGGGGGTCCTCCCAGTACTGGCCAGAGCTCACTCACCTGCTTGTCGCAGGTGACCGGCATGCATAGGTCAGCCCGCTCCGCCTGACCAAAGCTGACCTCCATCTCTGTGCTGGGGGGTGTCCTGGGGCCAAGGTGGGGGCCAGCTCTACCGGGGCCCACGCCGTGAGTCCTGGGGGGACAGGGGGCCCGTTCTCAGGCTCACTCTCCCTGATGCAGCCCACTGGGTGCGCAGAGGAGTGGCAAGGAGCCTGGCCCAGGGCCTGTGCTGCCCCACACCCCGTGCCACCGCCTCTGCAGTGCCCAGTCATGGTGACCCTCTGGAGCCCGAGGCCTGAGCAGTGGTCCCAAGGGAGCAGGATGGGCCCAGGACAGGCAACCCTGGGCCTCTGGACAAGCGGGGGCATGGGAGGGCCGAGAGGCTGGACAGCCCTTCCGGCGCCAGGGGCTCTGGCCAGTTCCGATGTGGGAAGGGGGCGCCATGCTCCCGGCCCTGGCACAGGGGCTTCGTTAGCGGCGGCAGCGGCAGCAACACGTGGAGGCAGCGCCCTCCTACCTGGGGCCAGCCCTGGGCCCGGCTCCACCGTCCTCACGCAGAACCTGCGGGCAGAGGGGCAGCCTCGCTGAGGCCACAACGCCTGCGGCGAGCGGCAGGGCAGGTGACCGCATGATTTTACAGACTCCCACATGGTCAGGGCGGCCACCCCAGCCTCAGACAGAGGACGGCTGGGGAGCCCGGGGGACACTCAGAGCCTGTGGGGCACGTCCCTCCCTCCACACAAAAGGGCCAGGGCTGCTCTGACGTGCTCGAGGCCGGGGGACTGGGCTGGCGAGACGGCCACCCACCCACCTGGAGCTGCTGAGGCCGGACGCCCCTGTGCTGGTCGTCGGGGACAGCAGAGGCCGCCGCCACCACCTGGTGAGGGACAGCGAGGGTTTGCCCGGTCAGGGGCCTGTGACGTCTGCTCCCCTCACCTCGCTGCCCGCCCCCCACCCCCACGTCTCCCATCTGCGGGACAGGGGACGCCCAGCACCACGGGGCCAGCGGGGCGGGAACATACGCTTGAGAAGGAAGCATCTGCGCTCATCATCTCTAACCTACTTTAGTACAACGTTTCAAATGTTTCTGCTCCTTAGAAAGTCTGTTATGATAAGCAGACTCTAAACTGACCAGTTAGTGTGGCTAGAAGCCCCTCCTCCGCTCAGCCCCCAGCCCGCCAGCAGACTGGCGAAGGCGTGCGATGGGGCACGTGCACGCACCCACGGCACAGTCACACGTAGCACACTGGCCCTCAGTGACCTGGGGGTGACGCTGGCCCAAGCCTTCGGATGGAAACCGAAGTCCTTGCTTCTCCATATGCGCCCTGCCCTTGGGGACGAGCTAGTCCCCAGTGTCCTGTGACGATGGTGCTGCTGGCCTGCCCCTGGGCTCAGCCCACTTCGGCCTCCTGGGTCCTGGCCAGCGGAGGCCGGGCAAGCCATGGCTACAGTGGCCCCTCCTGGCACAGCTCCTGCTCTGCGGGCAGTTCCTGGTGGGTCCTGCCTCCCAGCTCTGAGGGCCCTGGATCTGTGAGCCCCACTTGGGGACACTGCACAGCCTTGTGCCCACTTCCCACGCACCAAGGCCTTATATCAACATGGACGAGGGCCTGGCCACCTGCCCCTCTCTGGCCTGCTGGTGCTGCTGGCCGCTGAGCACCTTGGGCCCAAGAAACAAGAAGCCGCCCCCTTACCTTGGCCTTGCCCAGGAAATCCATAGGGGCCAGGTGCTCCAGGTGTCGCCTGTGGGGCCGGAAGACCTCGCCCCTGGGGACCCACCGAGGCTGCAGAGAGGCCTGTTTCTGGAGGGAGGTCGGGCCAGTGTAGACCTGAGTATCCAACCAGGCCCACACCTGCTGAAGCCCTGAGCTCTGGAGCAGAAGGGGTCACCTGGGGCCCTGCCCACTTCCCACAGGCCGTGGGAAGCACTTGCTTGCCTCCACACCTGGGCACATAGGCCACCACCCTCCAGAAGCTTCTTCCTGCCAAGTAGTTGGTCTGGGGCATCTGTGCAGACGTGAGCTCCACACTGCGGGCTGCGGGCCCGTAAGCCCATCTGAGTCAGCTCAGGAGCCTGAGAGGGCCTCGTTCCCCTCTCCCGGCCCCTCGCCTGCCCCCCTCACCTGCACTTGGCCCAGGGCAGTGTTCAGGTCGCAGGCCCCTTCTGGCCCCTTGGCAATGGCTTCCTCTAGGCTGCGGGTGGCCTCTGCCCAGAGCCCCAGCCTGCACTGAGCTGCTGCCATGTTAAACAGCACCTGGGAGCCAGGTGAAAGGTGAGGGCAGGGGCCGGACTGCCCCTGGGTCCCCAGCCCCTCCTGTCCCCGCCCCCCCAACGTGGTGCTCCCCAGACACAGCCCGGGCGCCCAGCCTTCGGAGCAAACCGGCTCAGCAGGTGCCAGCTCTGCCCGCAGGCCTCGCTCTCTCCACCTGCAGCCCAGCCTCTCTCTCTGAACACCAGACCTGGCCTCTGGTGGAACCCTGCCCCTTACCAGCCTTGACAGCAGTGGGAACCTGGTGCTGGGGGCAGCTGGTGCCGCCCCGGGAAGCCCTGGCCTGGTGACCTCGCCACTCTTCTTGAACCATGCTGGGCTGCCCCGCTGTCCTGCCTGAACCCCCGTGAGTCTGGAGTCTTGCCTCTCCCCCCACATGAAAGGACATCTTGATGGACATGCTGGGCTGAGTTAGGGCTGTCGCTGCCAGGCACCTGCTGGGGGACCTGTCTCGCCCGCTGGCTGCTGCGGGCACAGCAGGTGCTTGCCCAGCTCTGCCTATGTCAACGAGAGAAGCCAGCCGGCCTCCCCAAGGCCTGCCACCCCTCAGCCTTCTGCCCTTAGGCCCGCCGGGTAAAACCATGCTCCTGGTGGGGGTCATGGTCGGGCCAGCTCCCCACAGCCTGCCTTGCACTGTCCAGTGCCCTGGGACGGGGAACACAGGTGGGCTAGCGACCTTCCCCACTATTGCCAGAGGGCTCCAAGGCATGTTTTGGGGCACACTGGGGTACTGCGGGGCCTTCCCAGTGGCCCTCCCTCACTGCCAACACTGTCCCAGGAGGCTGGGAGCAAGGCCAAGTGCAGAGCCGAGGCTCGGAGTGCCCCTGCCTGGCCCTGCCAGGGCCCACAGCCACCGCGTCTGCCTCCCCCCCGCATGGAGGTGCTCCTGGCACCCCCACCTCCACGGCTGCCCTAAGCCCATTGGATGGAAGAGTGACTGACGGGTGGGGACTGCGGGCCGCCTCTGGGCAGAAGGAGCATCTCCATCAACACAGCCCTGCCCGAGACAGTGACAGGACCTCGGGCCTGCAGGAGCCAGGGCCCTGGAAGGACGGCCCAGCTGTCGGGGGCGAGCTCCCTGCTCTCACCTCCCAGGCGTGCAGCTTGAACCGCAGGCCCAGCTGCGTGTAGTCGATGGCGTTGTTGTCCCTGAGCTGTGCCAGCGCCAGCCGGAAGTCAGACAGGGCCTCCTGGAACCTGCGGGCATGCGGGAGTGGGCAGGGGCCCTCAGCGGCCTGGGGAAGGGGCCCCCCCTGCCCCCGCCCCAGCTCAGGGGACAGCTGCTGGGGCAGCAGTGGTCACCCAGGTCTCAGCACAAGCTGGGCACTCAAGTCCAGACGAAGGGGTCAAGGGGTCAACATGCAGAGGCGGCAGCATCTTGACGGTTGGGTGGTACCTGCCTCTGGCCCCTGGGCGCCTCCTTCTCCTGACCCTCTTCAAAGCCCCTGTAGGGCGCCCAGGGTGTTCCCTCCTGCCTCCCAGGTCCCCTGGGGGGTGGGCTGCCCTCAGTGCCCACCTGCCCACCGTGCAGCCTCCTGTGGGTCAGGCCTGGGGCCAGGAGAGGCACAGAGGCGGGGCCGGTCCTGCAGCCCTGACCGCTTCCCAGGGGTGGCCACAGCGCAGCGCCGGGGAGCAGTGAGGACCCCAAGCACCTCTGTCCTGGGACACGCGCTCCAGCCCTGCCCGGTCTCCATGTCTGCGGGCCAGGCACACGCACACGCTCCCGCAGCGGCGGACGTGGGCGGGGCCGCGGGGCCGCGAACACGCTGCGCGAACCTCGAACCTCGCACACCACGAGCATCACCGCGTGGCTCCCCCTGCGGCCCGCTCGGCGGCCACACAGCGGCGCAGGCAGGGGCCCAAAGCGCCTCAGAGAAGGGACGAAGCGCGCTGTGCTCACCTCTCCAGCAGGAAGTTGGTCGCTCCTCGCTGGAAGAAGCCGACAGCCATGCAGATGTCCTTGGTCACCGCTTGGTCAAAAGCCTGAGAACAAAAATGTGCACAGAATGCCAAGGTCTGTCACTCCATCACTCCGTGTCACAGGTGCAGTCCCCGAGGATGACCGGTGGCGGGGCCAAGGCATTCCCCCGGCCCATGACAGCCAGCCCAGGGGCCCTCAGAGCTTGAGCCGGGACATGCACAGGTGGCGCCAGGTCCCTTCACTGGCACCACCTACACTAGCCTGAGCCCCCGAGGTGCCTTGTGACAGGCACAGAGCACAGTGAGGTGGCGTCACAAACCAATTCGTTTGCTTCGAGGGCACAGGGAAACAACAGAAGGAAACACTCCAGTACATTAACGACAGTCGCCTCTGGGGGTGGAGTTGGGCAAGACTTTTGTCTTCGAACAAACGACACTTCTTTCCACTTCTTTCCGGGTAGAAGCAGAAAGTTCAACAAAGAAGTCTTAGCATTTGTGTGAAACTCAGCTCTTCCTTCGGCCACATTCAGAAATGACCTCACCTGTTCCTGAGGAGGTCAGAGGCAACAGGAGGGCGTCCGGCAGCCGTCAGTTAAACCCAGGCCGCGGGAGAGCCCCCGTCCCTGCTCGAACAGTCTAGTGAGCGGGGGCTCCTGGGGACTGATGTGGGGGTGGGGGCACTCAGTGCCAGTGAAATCCATTTGTTTGCTGTCCCCACCATGAGCAGCCAATCCAAGGCTTAAGCGAGGCTCGCGACGGACTGCAGCCCCACTGCGCCCCCACCGACCTGCTCCTCAGAGACACTGTCATGAACAGTAGCCATTCCATCGTTTTTTAAAATCTCCACATTTCCAACTAATGTGCCTGTGCTGTCATCACTCGGTTTGCTGACTTCAGACAGCACTGCCCGCTCCTAGAGGGCAGGGAGGACCGGACACCCAGCCCCTCTGCCCACAGCCTCGGTCCCCTCTGGTTAAGGCACAGTCTACACAGACGTGACGACTGGCCTGGGAAGGCTGCTGAGAACAGTGGGCCAGACGGCCCGGCCCCCCGGGGGTGAAGTGTGCGGACCACGCCTCAGCCTCTTCGTTGGCGTGGTTTCCACTGACCGCCTGAACAACCGCAGGAACCTAGTTCTTTCTGCGAGGGCGGGGGGTGCCTCTCTCGATGAACACAAAGCATGCAAAGGGCAGACAGTGGCCCTGCGCTGCCCCGCAGCACAGCTAGGAGTGTGTGTCCCCATGCGCACCCCTGAGCTCTTGGTTCTGTTTTGGGGGGCAGTGGGGAGACAGAGAGCACTCGGATCTGGGTTTAGGCAGAGACCTTGTCTCCTCATTGTCACCACAAGTGTCTGCTGAAGCCCCTGCCCCAAATCCTACACCTTGAGGAGCAGGTAAACCCTACCCAGCTGGATCTAGCCTCCAGCATTTACAGGTATGTCAGCATCACACTGGCGAACACCTGAGCCAGTGTTTGCCCCAGCCCTTCCTGGTGACTGTAGAGTCTGGTACACAGTCACCACACAGTGCAGGCACTGAGGGAGCCCTGCACCCCCATCCTGGCCCTGACTCGGCTCAGAGTAAGGGTTCCCCAGCCACAGCGCTTCCACGTGCTTAGTTAGGTCTGTCTATTCAGGCACAGGTGGCTGCCGGGAGGAAAGGCTGCGGCCCTGGGCTTACCTTTGCTGCTGGGTCTTTATCACACCGCTCACTGACACAACGCACGGTAATTAACCGCCCCCCGCTCGGGGAACGGCCTCTGCAGCCGATCCCGGGGCGCCCTGGCTCACCCGCAGCGCGGCCTCAGGGTCGCCGGCCAGCAGGTGCACACAGCCCACGTTGAAGCACATCCTGGCGGGCGGGTCCGGGATGCCGGCGAAGAGGCGCAGGGCGCAGCCCCAGTCCCCGCGCTCCACGGCCTGCGCACCCCTCTGCCAGTCGCGCACCAGCTCCCCGAACGAGGGCATGGCGGCGTCGCCCGGCCGGCTGCGGCGGAAGTAGTAGTTTCCGGGTCCGAGTGCGGCCGGCGCGCGTGAGGGTCCCGTGAGGGGTCCCGTGGGATGACTAGGGGTCCGAGGACCGCAGAGCAGGGGCGTATGGGTCTGGAGACCGTCTGGATCTGTGGGGACCCTCCGAGGCAGGCAGGGGTCAGGGGTGAAGCGCCACTAGGCATAGAACGCGGAACGGGGCGCAGGTGAGCACTAGGTGCGGCACGCCTCCTGCTGGCCTCAGCCCCGGGCGAAAGAGCGGCCCCGCCTCCGCGC